AGAAGCTCTTGTGTCCATTGTCTAAGGTACGTGAAGTTAAATTACATGCAAGTAATGCAAAAAGTCATTGATGGCATTAAAAGAGAAACAGAAGAGGTGAAAATACAAGAACTTTAGATAAGTATCTTCATTTGCCACTTGAAGAATAATCTTGGGGGATGTTTAGTTGATAAAGTGAAGAATAAGAAGCCATTTAGAAGACAACTATGATAGTCCTGGGGAAAGATAAGAAAGGTTTAAATTAGAGAAGTAGCAAAGGAGATCAGACTAGAGAACACATTGCTAAATACTGTAGATATTCAACTCATAATACTTGGTAATAAATTTAGTGTGTTAGTGAAAAAAGGGAAAATCAAAGAATGGTTCTTAGGTGTCTAACTTGAATGACTGCATGGGTGAGATCACTGAAGCTGAGAAAGATATTATTGGAGGAGCTGGTTCAGGTAATTAATTCAAATTTGCACTTATTGCTGTTGAAATATTAAGGGTATATTCATAATTATATCTATGAAAAATAGATATCTGGGTTTGAAAATCACAGCAGAGTTTTACAACTGTTAATATAGATTTGGAGACCTCAGAACAATTGGGTCAAGTTAAACCAAGGAAGCAGGTATCATGAAGAAAATATTGAAAAATCCATGTCCTGAAAAACATCAAAATTAGGAAAAGAATTTGCAAATAGACAAAAGAAGAATGGGGAAGATCAAGGCAAATAAAAAAGAATATGGAGGGACAAAGTGATAATAAAAAGTGTTAGAAGCAGAGATTTGTTCCAATGTGATCAGTTAGATTTCATAATAAAGAATATTGCCATATGATTTAGAAGGGAATTAGAAATCATGAATGAAGAATAAAAGGATGATAAGAAAAGAGAAATATGGGACCAATGGGAAAAAACAGAATATGTTTCTAAGATTCAGAAAGAACCTTCCAAAACAGAAAAGATAGAAAATATTTATGGTACAGATAAGGAGAGATGTATTCAGTCCTTAGAGACAAGATGAAGAATTAGAGTCAAGGATAAAGCTGAAAGATTGGCTTAGGACAAGTGAGATCCCATGCCCAATAGAACTGGAAGAGGAAGACTAGTCAGGCTGTGGACAGAGAATATCTGCCAGCAAGGCTTAGGATGGAAAAGTCAGAGACTGGAAGGGGCTATCAGATTGAAGAAAGAAAGAACTCAAGGCATTGATATCCCTATTTAAAGAATAGTGACCTGGTGAGTAACGTGATAGTTTTAGAAAAATAGGAAGTTATGATAAGATTAAATAAAATGTTGCTTCATTGAAATGAAAATTGTGGATATGATGTAGTCCATTCTAGAGGGTTACAAGTTCAGAGAGTGAACTATGTACCACTGTGCCATAGTGAATGGAAGGTGAAATGAAATATAGACAAAAATCTTAGAAGGCAACAAGACAAGAAACTATAGCCTGTGTTCAGACTTTTAGCATGATAGCTGCATGTGAACTTAAGATAATAATGAACTCTGGGTGGAATGGAGGACTATGGGGACTGTTTGAAAGTTTCCAGTGACCAAAAGCCAGGGAGAAATGGGCTAGTAAAATAAAGTAATGGTGATGATCTCAAAATACTTTAGAATATAAAAGAATACTGGTTAATTAGTCATCTGAGAATTGAGATGACTGCTAAGCCCATTCCCAGTTTAACACAGGAGTATCCCAGCCTGAATGATAAAGCATACAGTCACCCTAACTAAAGGAGAAATGAAATTTTAAGAATTTCAAGGAGATGGGGCAAATATTTAGTACATTAAATCAAGAATGTAGCATGAAGGTTAATGAGGTGATGTTGTACAAGTCATTCCTCAAGTCCCTCAATAAGTGACTGCATAATACTACCTCCTTTCTTTCCATTCTGGAATTTCTTTTCAACGGCATGCTGTACTTATTCCCACCTCATTCTTCTCACCTCAAAGGCTTCAGTTAATCTCTACTTACATCTAAATCTTTCACTGCCCAGTTTGAGTTCTGTTTCTGTTACGAAGCATTTCCTAATTATAACCAGTTTTCTGGACATTTCTATTCTATGCACCACTGTGCACTTTTTGGATATGTCATTGTGGGGTGCATCATTATAAACTGTTCATGGATCCCTGTGTTGGCTTTGCTCCTCTAAATAGCTTTCAGGCTCTTTGAGAGCATGATCTGTGTGGTGGCTATTTATTATTTTGGCTTCGCTTTACTGTTCTATCACTATTTCTTTAAAGGATGTGTTTCTTGTCAATTTTAGCTGTATGTGTCTGTTGAAAATCAAGATTACTAGTTAAAGTACTTCACCCCCATTCTTTCCATCACAGAAATAACCAAGTGACTAGTCTAGGTCACTTATAATCCTGCATCCTGGTAGTTATGGTGATATGTCCATAGGATAGCTAATAAGAGTTCATATTTAGGATTTTCCAAACAGGAGCTGAAAAGGAAGGGAAGATTTTCTGTCTCTGTTTTCTAAGTCAGATATGTTCTTGGTGGTTAATTTTATGTGCCAATTTGAATGGGTCACAGAGAACATCGATATTTGATCAAGCATTAGTCTAGATTTTTTATGTGAGTGTTTTTGGAATAGATTAACATTTCAATTGATAGACTGAGTAAAGGAGATTTTTCTTCCTAGGATCAGTGGGCCTCACCCAAAGAGTCAGTTTTCAACGGAATAAAAAGGTTGATCCTCCCCTTAATAAGAAAGAAACCTCCTGCCAGACTGCCTTGAAACTCAAACATTTGCTATGTTTCCTCTCTTTGGATTGAAACATCAGCTCTGCTCAAATGTTATTGCTTGGGGGAAAATATCTCCCAAAAGACTCATGTAATCCCAGGTGGGGCTTTTAAAAGTGATTAGGTCATGAGACACTAACCTCATCAATGGAATAATCTATAATGAGTTCATGGCTGACTAGGCTGTTAGGAGGCGGCACCTCACTGGAGGAAGGAGACCAGTGGAGACATAACCTGGAAGGGTATATCCTCTCGCCTCTTCTTGATTTCTCTGCTTCCTGGCTGCCAGGAAGTGAGCAGATTTTGCCTGGGAGCCAAGTGTCAATGAACCTGTGAGCTAAAATAAACCTTTTCTCCTTCAAATGTTGAGCACTTTATCCCAGCAATTAAAAGGTGTCCTACACATGGGAGTCTTGAGGCTGTGGCCTTTCAGGGGAACTACGTCAGTTCTCCTGGTCCTCAGGCCTTCAGGCTCAGACTGGAATGGAACTAAGTCATCATTCCTCTTGGGTCTTCAGTTTGCAAGCCTCTAATGATTACGTGACACCTTTTTCAAATACATAAATAAATGAAAAGAAATTGAAAGTAACATCTGAAGATAAGAGGCATAGAAAAATAGAAATAGGACTTTAAGACAATTTCTGGGTTTTTATTTCATTTCTGGTGGTCCTAGTTCATAGCTATAGTACTGTTTCCTTCAATTCTGTGAGCTAACCCAGGTTCTTCCCATAAATTCTCTCTGGTGTTTTAACTAGCCTGAGTTGTGCTTCTGTGACTTGTAACCAAAAGAACATTTACTTAAAACCTTTTCTATGTTTTATATGTCTATATTCCCCTAGCATTCAGGACTGTGCAGAGCACATGGCTGGTTTCAGTAAAAACTTGTTGAATGATTAATTGATTGAATGATTGATTGATATCGGAATTAGACTACTCCTTTGCTTATGTTGTTTCTGCTAAACTCCTAGCCTTCTCATATTTTTAGCCCTATATTGCAGAAAATTTATCCATATTTCTCTTAGGAGATAATACAACTCAGAGAAAACAAGGCTACTGGTAGTAAATAGCCTAAATTCGCAAAGAATAAAACAGATTAGACTAACTAGAAACTTTTTGGCTGAAATTATAAGATTGTATTAGCCAAAGGGTATGTGGTACATGATTATTTGATCTTGTCTTGATAGTGCATGTAGTAAAGTGCTGGATACAGCATCTTGTGAAATCTTGATAGCTAAATTAATTTAAATTGGCTGAATGTATAGATCTTAAATAGAGTATCTGAATACAGCAAACATGGGATGAATATAATATAGGAAGGTGTCAGATTGGAATGTGCGGACTGGCTAATCAGATAATGGGGATCAGTTTAACTCTGTTTTATTGGAGCATCTGTAGTAATAGCATCTGAAGGGGTAAACAGCATGCTAATGAAACCTTCAAAGGATTGGAAAGAACATTAATAAATTAAACAAAGAACTTGAAGAGATATGAGAGATATACTGACAAAATAAAGGTATATTAGAAAGAAAAATATTCCTCAGATCACTGAGATCCCCAATGCTTAATTAGAAAGAAAAGTGACTAAGATAAACTTGCTGAATTTTAGAAGGATACTAGGGATCAATGTTAAGTATGTTGGAAGGTAAGGGGATGTGATAGCCCGGAAAGCAAGTAGCAATAGGACAGTGTGCATTCCACCCCACAGTTATTTTCTAAAGAGGGAAGATGCATATCAAATCTTAGAATGGGAAAGGACTTTTAAACCATGAAATCTGAAGAAGAATCCATAAAGAAAACATTTGTCAACCTAATAACTCTTGCCATTATGCATTTGTTATAAAAAGCAACAAAACATAACAAAGGAATAATAATTGTTATATATAAGACTTTTCAAATCCCAAATAATTAGAACAAATAGCCTAATAGAAAAGGAACAAATTACATGAGAAAGAATGCTCAAGAGACAAAAAGTGAATCATCAATAACATATTAAAAATTTAACCTTATATTTAAAAAAAGACATGACATTTTTGACCTTGCGAATCAACAGACCCAGAAACAATATGCTCTTATTTGCTGCTGTTAGAAATCCTATCATAAGTTGACACGGAGTGCTTCATATGTGACTTAGGTAAAAGATTAGAAGGATAGCACAAGATGCCTGCGTCAATTTAGATGCACTAGTCTTCAGTAACAGTAACACAATTCTTTTATCAGTGAATGAAAAGAGATTTGCTTATTATTTCATGGAGAACTCCTGACCTGGTGTTCAGGTGTTGAAGCGGCTTTTAGCAGTCCTCTCCAAAGCCAGGATTCAGCCATCTGTATTCCACCATGCCTGTGTGCACTATCATCATCTCTGATTCAGCCTTTGGAAGAGAAACCCCAGGAAGAAAACTGCCTGAAAAGTTTTTATAGGCTATTCCTGACAGTTTTGGTTCACATAATATTTGGAGAGATTACAGTCTTTTAGTCACCCTGAGCACGAGGAAGCTTAGGAAATGCACTTTAACTGTGTTTCAAGGCGAGAGCAGAGTTGTGCAATTAGCTAAAGGTCTCTACCACAAGATCTGAGTCAAGGTGCTGAGCTGTCATGGAACCCACTCATTGTAGTTTAAGAAAGGATTAGTTCCAGAAATACATTAATAATTTTGCATTTATTAATTCTTCGGGGACTCTTTTGTAACATCTACAAATCCTTTAGGATCTCCACAAGATAAGTATAAATGTTTCCATGAGGAAAATAAAGTTGTTAAAGTCTTTAAAAATATGTGTAAGACAGACAGCTGGAAAATGGAGGAGCTGAATCCAGGTCAGATTCTACACCCGACTTCTTTTTTAATCTATACAACAGTGAGTAGCACAATCCCTTAAATACTTAGTCTGTTCCATCTTGCACGACAATGGCTGCATAGAAGCTATCACTAACTTTATGCTCTGTCAGTCATGGTTCCAGTCAACATTTAGTGAGCTTGCTCTTTCCCAGGCTCTGAACTACTCAAATAACTATGTATTGTTTCTTTAAATCCTTGAAACTAGCCATTGAGAAAGACACTTTTATTTTCTACTGTGTCTAGACTCAGCAAAAAAGTCACACAAGTAAGCAGCAGCTCCTGACTGCAAAGCCCAAGATCTTCACCATCAGCATCAGGCAGTATTCACTCTCAAACATGCCCACTTCCCCAGTAAGCCTTCAGGGACATATATCATGAACTATGACATTTTTAGAAAGATGAGCCTATATACCCTACTGCTGCTCTCACTAAACTATAAACTTGCTGGAGGAGACTAGACACTGACATATACATATGCACCTACCACACACATACACACACACACACACACACACACACACATACACAAACACACATATCTACACAGAGGAGTGTGTAGTAAGCTCAGTGCAATGGCAAGGCTGTCAATGGTCTGTACTCTAGAAGAGGCTAAAATGAATACCTACTGGAGATATAAGATGAAGTTTCTTGGAATTAGGAAGATTTGAAATGAATGGATTGAGAGAGACCTGAGAGTCTAGGAAAATGGAAAATAGACAAAAGTCTTTCAAGGTGGGAAAACAAAGTGGCCCAGCTGGGGAATCTGCTGACAGTCAAAGTTGGTTCCATGAGAGACAATCTGGTTAAAACAAACAAAAAAACTTTTACAAACAGAAGTTAACAAGATCTTGGCTCTGTTATTTTCCTGTCCCCCATGAATGATCTGAATTTTAGCTTAGTATCCTCTGAAGGTGTCCCATTCTTAGTTTGAAGTTCCCTCCCCTCTCCATTTTTTATGAATGTACAAATGATATGGGGAAAAGGTAAGTTGAAAAGCTCTTTGTCTGCAGAGACACAAATATATTACCTTAATATTCATTGCTGATATTGCTTTTGCAACAACTGTTTTCCTGTTAATATACGTGTGGTTTACTTTAGGTAGCGAGACTTATATCAAGAGATCTTGCTAGATGGCAGAGTAGACACCACAGGGAGAATGGAAGCCAGTTATTTGGCTCCAAAAATCTTTCATTAATATATGGAGAAATTGCCTTCTATTCCTAAAATAACAGAATGTATTTTTTTTAAAAAAAATAAGCATTTCAGGAGCAATGTGTGGGACAACTTTAAATTTTTTATTTTTTTAATGAACATGATCCTCAAATTTCCCCTTTACTAAGAAGAATATGGCTTTAGAGGAACTGTTTCACAAAGTAGTGATATTTTAAAACTCTAAAGTGGCTAGTTCAAATCACACGTTTATTGGACCTTTACTAGGCATAGGTTGTATTCAGAATACTTACTGAGCAACTCAGCTTTGGTTCCAAAGGTCTCGACTGAGGACTGGAAGCCACCTTTCCCACTGATGGGATAAAGCTGTCTTCCTATATTCTTGGCATCCATCCTTTAATAAATGTTTACATCTTTCCAAGTATAAACTGGGCACTTTTCTAGGTATCAAAAACATAGCAGTGTTTGTGTTGGCACATGCTTATAGTTCCGGCACTCTGGGAGGTTAAAGCTGGAGAATTTCAAATTCAAGCCCAATCTGGGCAATTTAGTGAGACTTTGTCTCAAAAAAAAAAAAAAAAAAAAAAAAAGAAAAAAAAAAGGCTGAGGATATAGCTCAATCCCCAGTACCATATATATATATATATATATATATATATATATATATATATATAAAACAGCAAACAAAACAAAACAAAGTAATAACCTAGAATGCTACATTTTATGAAGTAAAAGAACTCAAGATAATGGGGCAAGGCCATTGAGGGGATGTTATTTTGAGTGAACTGGCCAGAAAAATCCTCTATGATGGTGTAAAATTTGAGTAGAAGTAACCAGAATGAAATGAGCAAGCATGTCCTTTAGATATTTGGGGAAACGTCAATTTAGGCAGAGCTAAGTGCAAGTTCAAAGGGCCCGAGCAAATATAGAGTGTTAGAAGAACAAAGAAGTCCATGTGGCTGGCAAAGAGTGACTAAGGAGAAGGTGACAGAAGGAGAATGCCAGCAAGTTAGGAAACCAGAAATTGTGTCAGTCTTATTCTGGTTAATATTAAAAACCTTGGAGTATTTTGATCAGAGAAGTGATATTGCCTAACTTACTTCTAGCTGCTGTTTGTGAATACACGGTAGTGGGACAGTAATTGCAATTGGGAAATCATGTGGAAGACTGTGGAAAAAATCCAGGAGAGGGCAACCCACTTTCTGGGCCCCTTCTGTCTTTTTTAGACAGAACCAATATTTCTCTCAATAAATTCTTCCTACTCCTACCCTCCGTGGTTCCTAGAATTCATTGTTCGATTTTAGAGAACACCAATTAGTGTGTCGGACATCTAGCAGGTTTAACATCACCAGTGTGAGTGAGGCCTGTTTTCTAGCACTTCTGGGATGGATACCAGGTGTCCAATGTTCAAGAACCTTAACCACCTATTTTACACACACACACAAACACACACACACACACACACACACACACCCCACCACCACCTAACAGCTCTTTGACCTTGGGGCCATGATGCTTGTGCGGCTTTTCTCAGCAAGATGTTGGACCATGTTGGAGGGAGTGACGTGGGGGGCTACATCCACACAGACTGGCCTCAAGCCCAGGGGCCTACACCCAGGCCACTCTCAGTGGGCTGTGCAGACTACACCAACCAATGGGAGCTCCTCGGAAAGAAGCTGCTATCTGAGAAGAAACTGAAAATGCATTTTGTGGACCATCGGAGAGTGGTTGTCCATGGAGGAAGTGGAAGCTCTGGCATGAGCTGCTTCCACAGCGAGCCCTTGAAAGTAGTTTGGAGGCCCATTTGGAGATCCAGGATGGAGGTAGCAGTGGCCAAGTCATCCTGAGAGTTGACCAGAAAGTCAAATCCCTGTCATTAGTCTTGTCATTATAACAGAGTTTCAATGGAGAAGATGGTGGCAGGAAAAACTGCTCTGGTGAGGTGGTGCTGCTCTCTACATCTGGTCTCCTGGGCATCTTAGTTGAGGAGGGAGAGACATCATGGCTGACCTGAGCCGACTAGGTATTGCACTGGTGGGCACAGGAGGGAAAGGAAGCCACTTTTTCCTGCCTAACGACAAACACACCCCTTGTGACTTGCACCCTGGAGAGCTGAGTAAGGAGCATATTCTTCCACCTGGAGCTTCCACCCACACTGGGATGGTTGGGTTCCCCAACGCTGGGAAGTCCTCGCTCCTCTGAGCCATTGCAAATGAATGCAAAACCCGCTGTGGTGTCCTACTCATTCACCTCCCTGAATCCCCATGTGGGCATTGTTCCTGCAGGTAGAAGTAGCAGACATCCGGGGGATCATCCAAGGCCCAGCAGATCAGGGGCCTGGGGTTCAGTTTCCTCAGGCACATGGAGTGCTGATGCTTCCTCTTGTTTGGGGGTGGCCTTTTCCTTGCCAGAGCCATGGACTCAGTTTGAGCATTTAAAATATGACCTAGAAAAGTATGAAGAAGGCCTATCTGAGAGACCTCACATAATCATTGGAAATTAGATTATCTACCTCAGGCCAGAGCTGGTCTGCACCAGCTCCAGGCCCACCTGGGACAGGAGGTCATTGGCACTGATTGGGGAGAATCTGGAGTAACTGTTGCTCCACATGAAAGTACTCTATGATCCCCATGTGGAACCTGAGCTGGGGCAGGGCTGAAAATTGGTAGCAGGAGACAGCAGCACTGGGCCCCAAGGAAGGAGGCTAGCACAGGGGCCTCCAGGCTGCTGCACAAGCAAACCAGGTTGTAAAACATGGGTGGCTTTGAATGCATAAGAGAATGTGCTTGTAAATTAAATATATCATCATCATCATCATCATCATCATCGTTGTCCAGGAGAGAGAGGAGATGGTGGCGTGGACCCCAGGATTGGGGTGAGGGTGGAGGAGGGAATAACAGTGGAGTAGAAGTGGTGAAAGAGGTAATTCACTGGATATGTTTGGACATCGAGCTGAGAGAATTTTTTTGGTCTGTTGCACTTAAGAGTATGAAGGAAAAAATATAAATCAAGGAGGAATCTCTGTTTGGAGAACTGAGTAAATACAAAATGGAGTTGGAATTTAATAATCTAACAAAGACAAGGTGTGGGATGTATGGGGAGGAACAATGTTTCCTATGTGAAGTTTGAGATGCTGATCAGATACACCAGTGGAAAGATGAGCACGTGGGTGGCTGACGGGAGAAGGCAGAGCTGAGCTGGCAGTGTGGGCTTTCAGTGTGTAGTTCATATTCAAAGCACCTGACCAGGGAAGTTCATCCAGGCAGTAAGCACAGAATAAAGAAAAGGAGGATTCTAAGGAGACGCTCTAAGGGGTTCCTTTACTCAGAAGTTGAAAGCATAGTGTGTAATTGAGCAAAGGTTGCTAAGGACTAGCAGTCAGCAAGGTAGGAGGAAAACTAAGAG